TATAAAAAAGTGAAGCTATCAAATGAGAAGTTTATAAAGTATCAAAATTATTAAATTTAAAGCTCATATAATTAGGAAAATTCCTATACGAAAACAATGTTAGTGACATTAAATTGATCAGATAAAATTCTCAGAAAATGTGTCGAATAAAAGCCTCATTGTTTGCTTTTGTTTTTGCGTAAAGGTAAATTTTTCGGCCCACAAAGCAAAGTTGAAAAAGCGACTAAATCTTAGTTTTTTACATTGAACATGTTTATTAGCTTAGTTTTCGTCCGTTTTAAAAGCTTTATAACCCAATCATAATTTTCGGGTTAAAATAGTGCAAAATCATTTCAAAAACCATGTTCATTTAAAGTAGAGCCGGCAAACGTGAACATTTTGTGATTCAAAAGTCGAACCCAGCCAGGTTGTCTAAGCTTAGAATTTTCTACATTTTAGTGTCCTATAAATTTACCAGAATCGCCCCTCAGAGGCTTACTGTAGCAAAGCATTTTGTAGTGCACTCGTAGACAAGCAATGTAAGCCTTAAGTCTTTGCTTGGATGAGATGTCCAAAAGAAAAATTAGTTTTGTGGACCTAAACGCACATTCACAGATTGCTTATATTGAGTTGTTTACAACTTTGCATTGACACCTGCAGCATGTTCATTTTTTAAAGCGAAATCCAAATCTGATTTTGGCATTTGATTTACGGATATTTTATTTTGTCTCCAAAAGTGATTGTAATATCCGTTTGATTGTCTTTCAAACAACAGTCAAACTATGCAGCAAAAATAAGTAACTTTACCAGTATACAGTGAAAAAATATGACAGTAGGTGCCAAAAATAATTAAGCTCGAGCTATAAAATTAGATCTGACTTTTTGTAGCTTTGGTTTCTATATTTTTGAAGTTTTCTCTAGTCTTCTTAGCAGCAGAAGAAGATTACAAGACGTGTACAAAGAGAAACAATCCGAAGTGAGCGAGTTGACAACCACTTATGCCGGAGTTCTTTTGCATGCTCAACAGCAAGATAAACTGAATGCCAAAAGGCTAATTCACGGGATTTGTTCGATATTCAGGCTTTTTCTTTACCAAATTAATACTAAATTTGTACTTACAGTCTCTCGCAGAATCCATTTCTTGTCCAGCATTCACCAACATCTCAACCATGCACCGCAGAAAAAAAGACAAACAAGGGCGAAGAGACATGATGACATCGTGACGCCACAACTGCCACGCTACAACAAACTAGATTCATCGTCATCCGAAAACACTTCTGCGGAAATTCGGCCGATTTCGTGCGTGCTCGGGGTATCTTCGGATGAAGCAGATGACGTTGCTCAAAGGACTATCGTCAGCAAGGAGTAAAACAGTTTGCGAGATTCGCATAGCGGACAAGAAGCGCACTGAAAACCTAAGCAAAATCTCTCTGAGAAGGCAGTCCAAATTCACCAAATCAGAACGTCTTTGCAGTATTAACAGCATTAACGTCGTACTCTCGTACTGACTTGAACGACCTGGTAAACTTAATTTTAACCAGTCTTTTGATGCTGTTGACCGGGAAACATTCCGACGCGATAAAACTTAATCATGGATAAGTTTATACTGAGAAGATTTGTTATCTTATTGTTTAAAACGCTTTTCCGCGATAAAAATCTGGACCCAGAAATGTCAGTATTGGTTTGAAATAAAAGGATTAATCTTTGATTACAAGTGAAGTATTCTATTTCATGCATGAATAATGTTGTTTTGTTGTGCTTTTTATTTCTAAATCCAGGCTTCTGTCTTCAGTTTTGCCAGTCGATCCCGTGACACACATTGTGACTTTTTTGTTATAATCTGCATTTATTGCCAGGCATGAAACATGTAACTTCAAGCTCCCTAAGATATATTTGGCGATTACATGTGATTCTCAGGATATGATGCTGAGGCGAACATCAAAATCAGTCTCGCTGGGCATGCCAATTTCATGCCCGGCATGCCGGGCATGCCAAACCAACTGGCTTCACGATCGGCATGCCCGGCTGCGAGGGCATGAACCCATTTTTTCCATGCCTATGAGATGTTATTTCTAAGTACCAATGTTCCCTTGAATTTTGTCATGCCTAAATATATAAAATTTTCCCTCTCTCATTAATCCTCAGACTGGATGCGATTTTTACGCTCGCTAGGCATGTTCAACTGAAAATCATGCCCATACCCTCATTCAAAACAAAATGCTATCAAATTTTAGTTTCCAAGCCGTTTATGGTCATGCGTTTAAAGCATTAGTATCCGGCTCGACAACCCATCATCCAACACCGTTATCGTGAAGCCGGTTTAGAAACTGATTGAATTGAAAACAGTTCTGAGTATCATCAAAGATGGCACCAGCCCATTTTGCGGAATGCATTGCAAGTGATTCACACATTTATGTCTGACTGCCCAGGCCCAGAACTTGCCAACACTAAATACATTCGAAGCATCATCAGAACAGATCATATATTCATAGGAAGGTGCCAGAACTATAACATCATGACAAATGATATATGGTGGGAACACAAACTAGAAACTGTTGTAGAAAACGAAGAAGTAACGATTTTTATGGTATATGCCAAGAAATAGCGGCTAATAAAGCAGATATCATAATCAGAGACCTTACTAATCAGAAATTCCAGATTATTGTTATTATTATTATTACTATAAATTCTTTTATTGATAACAAAACTAACTATTAAAACCTTAAGTTTTTACAATTAATTTCGCTGAAGAAGAAAAAAATATATACATGTATTCAGTCAAAGCACTATTTACAAGTCATTTCATTTCATAAGCTCCTGTTCATTTCGATTAAAAAGAATTCATTTTGATTAAAAATGAAATAAAAATCCTAAAATACTACTTTACAAGCCGACGCCACCATCATCCTCTAAAATCAGCGGACACACGCTTGGCTAGCGTTTAAGCGGCAGTTGTCAATGAAATCCTGGCTTGTGGAATTTTGTGGAAAAGTCCTTAAAATCTCAAAAGAAAGCAATGTTCTAATCCAAGTAATAGTAATGTGATAAGGTTCCCAATTCTTTTTAGTAAGAGCTTCTCGGCTAGCTAAGCGTTTGAGAAAGCAGTTGCAGTCGGATCCCATCCCACCGTTGGTTCCAAAAACTAGGGGAGTGAAAGATCCCCGGGAAAGATCCCCGGGAAAGATCCCATTTCAACGTCCAGTACCCTCTGTTGGTACTTCCGCTTTTTCTCATCCTCCTGCTTCTTAGAGATTGTGGATGTTGCTTTTCCCTGGTTACACTTGGAGTTAACATGCGTTACTCTGACATCAAAAAATGCTGTAACTCCACGAGACCAAAAGCCCCCTGCCTATTGGTTCGGGATGATTCTCGAGATTACTATTATTCTTTTAAAAGCGATAAATAACCAAATTCTTGAAAGAAATGGACTTTCCTTCATAGTCAGGGTCACCCAACGAGGATATAGTTCAAAACCACTGAACATAGCATTGTTGAACGTATTTTAGTATTTAAATGGTAGATATAGGCATATTTTTATCCCCTAAAAACTTTTCATCTGTTCGGATTTCCTAGCTGAAAGTCTAGTGATCCGAAAATTATAGGGATCAAAACTTACCTTTTCGAAAATTTCAGCCAGGAAAAGGCTCCCGAAAATTCTAGGTGGCCTTTTTTAGGGTAAATATCCGTTTAAAATGGGTAATTATACCATTTTGTAGATGTTCGAAAATCCTAGGAGAGGCAGGCAAGCAAGAAATTTTACAACAAATGTTCCGAAAATTCTAGTTCTCAAATCGTCTTCCGAACAGATATTTTCCCGAAAATTGCCGTTGGGTGCCCCTGCATAGTGCACACGATGTAATATGAAATTAACTAAATTTCATATCATGTAGTTAGCGTGCCGCCACTTTGAGAACTGCTGATTCATGCAGTACATTGTTTTCATCAATAAACTTGAGACTAGTCACGTCGACGGCCACTTTGGCAATGAAATACTCTCCCCTAGCCGTTTAGGAAGGCCTGATACTCAGGCTCTGGAAAATGACTCATCATTGCGAACCACGTATCTCCTAGGGCGATGTTTACATGTGACCGGTTCAAAATAGAGCTGATTCGATACAGCGGGCGGAACGGACCTGGTGTGATCCGCCGCACGTGACCGGTCTGTTATGGGCTCTTAGGCTACTGTATCGAAATGAGGAAAGCAGAGGTTTTATTAGTTTACATATGAAGAGTGACAATAGTGTTTTTACTTGCCCGTGGCCTGTAGGTATCTAAATAAATTGGAATCACAGGTTGTTGAGTTACGGCGAAAACGTTCAAGTTTGGGACACCATAGAGTGTTTTCACTCACGTGGCCAGCATCTATGCAAATTTGTTGGAACAAAAGAATTGGGTTTGCGTAAGAAAAGAGGATTAGTTTGGGACACCAACATGGCCGCCGTGACGTCATGTGAAAACTCTTTAACGCTGTGACGGGCTGTGACGTATGTTCGTAAAGTCTTTCGGCTGGACAGGTGAATTATCCCTATAAAATACTATTTTAAATTACTGTGCCTTGTGACGTGAATTTCATTTAAAAAGATGCTAAGTAATTCAAAGGTTCAATAATCCCGAGTACAATATTGGAGATGAATAAATTTGACTTGTACCCAAGCCTAAATGAGACAATTTTTGCACGACCTTGCAAGACGCACGTGAGGTGAACGTATATCACTGAGAAAGTTCGGTGGATAAGTTGAATCGATCCTTTAAATTTCTTAATAGTCAGCTTGTTTTTGAAAAAAGTAAAACATTCTTTGTTAGTTTCGCCATGAAATAAGTTTTTGAACGAAAGTTACGTAATAATAAACGCGGGCAAACTTCAAGGAAACGTGACTTGCCAATCCCTTGGCGCGTGAGCCGTTCACGTGCCTGTATACATGAGTTACGCAACATTAGCATTTAAAAACACACTCGCGCACCAGTTTGTTGTATTTAGTTTTACAGAGTTGAGAGAGTTGAGTGGAACGACTGCACCCACCATGGCAAGAGCAAATAATGCGTTCAAGATAGCGGCCACTACAATCAACTTGCTTGTGTTCGTCCTAGTTCTAGTCTTCAACTACGTCTCCACAGATCCGAAGGATGGTCCTTTGAACTGGTTGTTTGGAAATGCAACAACGGGTGAAGTGTCGGGCAAGTACTACATCGAAATCACACCAGCAGGCTGGGCATTTTCCATCTGGGGTTTGATCTACGCTTGGCAAAGCGCGTGGATCATCTACTCGTTGACTCTTCTCTTCAGAAAGAACGCCCCGGAGGTAATTTCGCCTGTGCTGCACGTGTTTTATTCGCTCGCCAGTGTTGCGAACATTTGTTGGATCGTGATCTGGAGCCACGAGTGGATTCAGGTCTGCGCGTTCCTACTCTTCGCCACGGCGTTCTTCCTTTACGCAACCTTGGCAAGATCATATATGACCCTAAATCTAGCAACGAAAGGAGTTCCTAGAGGCGACAGCATCGCCACACAAATCCTGGTAAACAACGGTATCGCGCTATATGCGACCTGGTGCACGATTGCATCTCTTCTTAACCTTGCAATGGCGATTACTTACTTTCACGGCGTCGATCAAGATGTTGCCTCCACTATCTCGCTCGTGATTCTCGCTTTGGAGGTTATCGTGTGGTTTACGCTAGAAAACACTATTTTGGACAAGTATGTGAGGAATACACTTAGCGTCTATCCTGTCGTCATCTGGGCCCTCTCAGCAAGCATCTCCAAAAACTGGGATCCATCGAAGAGAAATTCCGTCATCTCGGTGGTCTTGCTGGCTGTGTCCTGTACTCTGTTAGTCGTCCGTATTGTCATTGTGGTATGGAGAGGAAAGAAGCAAAAACAGCAAGATGTAAACAATTCAAACATGCTCTTGGAGTAGCCAACCAATAGGAACATTACACAGACCAGTGAGGGGAGGGTAAAGGACTGATCCCCAGTCCCCAATTTTCCCCGGTCACGTCGCCTCTTCTGCAAAGACTTAATGTACATTTGTAGACTGCCTCTTTTCGTTAGCAGATGTGACTTTATCCTAGCCTCATGATTATTTGGACAATTGTTGATTGATGATGTTTTAGCTGAAATATTACCGGACCATTACAATTTAAGTAGTGGTAAAGCCATCAAAGTAGTATTTGCAGTAGTTTTGTATGAAGTAGTCCTTGGGTTTATTCTCAGTGGGTTGTCCTCAGAATTGAATCAGGGTCGCATTGACATTACTACTGAAAAAGATATTATGATTGGCCATGGAAACTCTCCATACAAGTACCTTATGAAATGTAACATACAGTACCTCGGACCAGTGCGTCCCAAAGAAAAGTTTTACTCAATGTTCCAATCTCGACAACTGACTGAGAGGGCCAAGGAAACTGGTGTGGCCTGGCGATATTCAAAGCAGATATCAGTTTAAGTAGCAAGGAAAAAGGAATAATAAGAAATGCCATTATTTAAGACCTTAACCCTCCTTCAGATGGTTATTGTATTTTTTGACTTCTTATGTTTTTATCCTAAACTTTGTACTCAGCTCTATTTAACGTGCATGCAATATGGCACTTGTCATAATTTTTGTTACTGAAATCAGCGTTTGTCTCTTCTTAAACATCATACATTTCTGTTAAAGAAAAAGACATTTTTTGTTATTCACAGTGGGCTACCTGTGTTCAGGATGGTCTCACTTTTAAAAACGTGAAGGAACACAGTCAGGAAAATTGGTAATAGTTATAGTTTGCTGTTTGTTCCCACTTAAGAATCAGAAAATTGAGAGATTTTATAGTACACTGAACTTAAATATTATTTTAAGGAATATATAATTTATGAGCTTTTACTTTATAACTTGGAGAATATTTTTAGGTGTAAAAATTTATGTTCAGAACATTGCAAGATTGATTCTCTTATTTACTTAATGTTTTTATTCATGCATTAAAATTTGTTAGCTTTCTTAGTCTCAGATATGACTGAATGGAGGTTTATATGCGCGGGTTAGAGGTAACATAGACACATATTATTCCAACATTTTTCTGGGCAAAAATTTGTGTCCCCTGAAAGGAGGTGTCCCTTGAATAAAGGTGCCTCCAAAGAAGAGGTTTCACTGTAATTAAACAGTAGCTCACAGTATTGAGCTCCTGTGCAAACATAGAACAAAGACATGTGCTGCGCAACAGTTTTACAAATGCAAGTGGCTGCTGGGTATAAATTGAGCAGGGAAGGAGTAGGGTAGGGGAGGGCTGCTGACAATGAGGTCTCTGGTCATAGTCAAATCTCTTAGACTTCAAACATGTAATGATATCGCCGAGGAAAACGCAATGTGTTGAGTTAACCGCCAAGAAACAGTATAAAATTTAGTTTCCTTTCTTCTCTCCTCTAGAAGGTTGCGGGTAGCACCTTTTTCATCAGTCTAGAGATTCCCAACCCGGCGCATCTATCGACGAACTAAATGGAACAAAATTTCCCTCGGACTCCCGCAGAGATTTAAACAGTGGTAATGTCTTCAAATGTCGAAACTCCTTCACTCGTAGTCTAACAAAAGACAAATTAAATTTCAAATTTTCTCTGCGAGGTCCGTTAAGCGAATAATGCTGAGCGAGTAAAAGCTAACTTTCCTTTTCGTACGCCTTCAAACTAAGAAGAAATTTTTGAACATGGCTCCGTGAAGGCCCGTTTTACACAACGGCAACGAGAACGTCAAAAAAGCAATTAGATTAGATTGGCAAAACAACACTTGGCTTCACATAAGTTTGTTTTAAGTGAGCACTTCGTATGTATCTGATTGAAGTGCGCTTGGAAATCGTAAGTTGCTCTGTAGAAAATCGTGATGGCTTCACAATTATTGACCAAGTAGATCACTTGAAGCAAAAGCTGTCAATCTCTACTTTCTTTAGAATCTTTGAACCGCTGCACGTGCACATCGTGACTTGGCTTCCACATCTTATATTGGGCAAGTGTGTTTTCAACTGTGGTGTGGCCCATACTTGGCGGCGAACTTCGGCTTCTTTGAACTACGAACGTTTCCCTGCATGGTCACAAAGTAAAGTTTAAGTAGATGCATTTTACCCCTTGACACTCAAAGTAGGTTCCAAGTACACTTACAGCAAACAACGTTGCACTTGAATCGCTCTTTTTTGTACATTTTTTAGCCGTCGTTGCACGACGACGACGTGATATAGTGCCCCCCAGGTTAGTGCCTAATTTCACTTTTAGTCGAGGACGTGAACACAAGACAACAAAATTTCTTTAGAATTCAACTCCAAAAAAATTTGCCAACATTTGACGAATTAAACGAGATGGGATAAGCGCGATAAAGTTTGAAGCAGCGCGAACTCACTTTTTAAGTGACGTTTTCGTAGACCTCCGGTTTTTGTTGCATAAGCTCCCTAATAGGGACTTTAAGGAAGATTCAAGGACGCGACGGCAACGAGAACGTCGCTTTAAAAGTGAATTTGTGTTCCTTCAGTCTTTATAGCGATTATTCCTACCCACTTACGTTCTCAAACGTAGGCGAACCCTCGTGAAGCTGAATTTCAAGTGACCATTTCCAAGCTCAGAAAGAGAAATAAAATTTCGTCGTTGCTTGTTTACCGTCTCCATAAAACCCGAAATTAAGTATTTTCACGCCGTAGTCGTGCAAAAATGGGAAAGAAGTGTTTTAAAAAAATGTGATCCACCTGCAAAGTTGTTGTTTTGCTTATTAAACCGATTGTTTTTTTGACATTCATTAAAATCCCTATTAAAACAACCAAGTAATGTTCCGATGATGTACAAGGAGCCAGTTTCATTTCTCGAACTTAGCCATAGATTCAGAAGTAAAGAACGATTACCTTATTAATAAGAACTGTTTTAGGAGTTTATTGATTAAAAGATTTAAGGGATAATATTTATGCTCATAGCCTGTGGGTCCGAATAGTGAATTCGAAGAAATCAAAAGAAAAAGGCGCAGGTCGTTTTGGCGGTTCGGGCACAGAGCAACCAAAGCTCAATTTTTGTCTTTTTTCAATAATCACCCAGGTTCCTTTAAATTTAAAGGATTGACCTCTAGTCAGTTTTGGTCTCCTTTTATTAACGCCAAGAAATTTAGCCATTATCTGTAGTCTTAATAGGCGTTACATGCAAATAATTAAAAGGGGGAATGCAAATTTGGAATGGAAAAGGGTGCATTATGGTAAAATAGCCTTTGACAATGTATCAGTTTTGTTGCAATACTCTGTATCAAGAGATCATGACTGTATTATTAAAAATTACTGATATATTAGAACAGCTCATTACTTGTGATAAAAGGTTTATAACTAGTAAGTAGGCTCACTAATGATCGAGCCCAAGTCTCGTGAAGTTCAGTGAGCAATAGTATAGAAAACGTTATCCGCCTACACTATATTTTTACACTATTTACACAACCTAATATCACATATCACCTACTTATTCCAGCTCATGCAAAAAGGACCTGTAGCGTGGAAGTCCATCACATTTTTTTAAAATCTCGCTTCCAAAGTCACCCGAGAACAAGTTGGGAATCTGGGCACGAAATTACCTCAAATAAAGTTGAAAACTCGCTCGAATTCGGCATTCTTTTTAAAAGAGACACTGGATCGGACGGAGCACTGGATTTATTTCGGTGAGCTTATTTTCAGCGTTTGTAGCAGTATTTTAGTGTATTTAAAACAATATCTACAACGAAAAATTAGTAATACGGCCCGTTATAATCGGAATTTTTTTTAGTGACGACAAAGTATCCGAGACCCTTACCGGGTAATATTTATTACCCGTGATTGTTGCCAATACTACTGTACAGCTGTTCGCTGTTTTTCCCGTCATCTTTTTGAGTCTCCGGTACGATGGGAATAACTCGACACAGGGAATTGGTTAAACGGAGGTTTTGGAGGGTATAATAAGATATTTAATTCACTTCAAGTCAGGAATATGCATTCCCTCTAAATTCGAAGGCACCTACCGGTGGTTCACAGCGATTTTCGCACAAAAAGATATGCTTTATAATAAGTTTTTTGTGAGTAAAGATAACTTGTATTCTGGCCTTAATACTCTCTCGTTTGCCCGACATAACAAGCTGATATATTCAGCAAGACTGAAAACGGTTCTATCGCCGATTCAAACTTGCACTGGACCGGACACTGACTGGAGAGGGCATGAATACAAATGGGCAATATTACTGTAACATTATGCATTGCGCCGCATGAATTTTAAACTTTTCTAACATTAGAAAAAATCGACGGAAACATTGATACATTTCGTTCTGTTTTTACTTTAATTGTTTTGTTTGTTTTTTGGTTTGTATTATTCGTCCACTCGGAATTCCTTCACATTTACCGTGTTTATAATTTCCACATATACCCTTAAAAGCTTTATCAAATTGCACTTCATTGCGGCAAATCGCTCAACTTCAAAGGAATCTTAACCTTCGAAAAACCAAATCTGACGTACATTATTTCTTTGTTGCATTGATTACAGAATACCGCTTAATTCAAAGTACATAATGTATTTTCTGGTCTTATTTTGCTTTCGTATTTTCAAGGTAAAAAAAATTAGTATCCTGTTATCATAACAGTCATATATCCATAACAACAGCATGCACCGGCTTTAGTAACACTAGGCCGGTTTATACGACACGATTTGTTGGCGCGATGTTGACTGATATTCAAAGGAAAGGCCAAAATGAAATCTGTTGTAATGCAACAGAATTTAAAAAATCAGGCCGATGTCTGTGTCTGCGCCTAAAAATCTGACTGACAATAGCGTGAATAACGGTCTTTATACATCGCGGTCGCTTACAAGAAGTTTACTAGAGGTTCCAGCTGTAAGAGCTTGTAAGGCTTTGATTGGGAAAATTTTGGTGTTTTGGATTGGCGGTCGCTTATGGGAGGTGGTAGCTTACGA